TACAATAATGCAATTTCCTAAAAACACAGGCTTCCTTTAATTCTCGTGTGACCAGGTCTTCATCCTTTAAATGACAAATTAACAAAATTCTACATAATAGTGTAGAAAATGATCAGCCTCAAATGTAACATGGTTGTAATCTTATTCGTCGTGTTAAAATGGTTTGACAAAACCAGAGACGCTCACAGTGACAGTTTGCACACGGTTTCCACAAATCACTTCACAAATCCCACATTAGTGACTGGTGCCAATGTTATGCTGTGTTTGCAGAGGAAACTTTTGAAAATGTTCTTCTCTGGGTCTTGAGAAACGTCTTATTTGCTTTATACATATGCAGCGTATCATCCAGCACAGTTCAGTCTGCACGCACGTCTGGACGTCAAAGTTACCTGTTGAACCTAAAGAGTGCTGCACTGCAGTAACTTCTGCTGCGAGGACAGTCAATGCTTCTTCACCAGAGAATGAACTCTCTGGAATCAAGAATGGGACAGACAACAACGCAAAGAGATGAATTATGCACTTTGAAGATTTAGCAACTTTTGTCATTAAAATCCCATCTGTGCATTGGGTCTCTCAGAGAGACGGTGGTGTGTGTGCGTGTGTTGATAAACAGCTGCTGTTGGGCCTCTCTGCTTGGTGGTGTTTTCATTATAACCATGTTTGCTTGACACAGTCTCTCAGATTATCTTTCAGTCTTATTATTCTCCTCTGTCTCTGCTTTCCATCAAATCACAATTCACCTGTCAGATCAGAGCAGATTAGCATTTCACAAACACATTAACCGTCTCTGTGTGCAGTGAATGAGGTGACAGACAGCCGCACTGTTACCGCCAGCAATAAAAACTTCCCCATTCAGAGACATTTAGAGCATTTGGAGATGATGCTCCCAGCAGGCAACATGCAGCAGGGAGGAGAAAACTTTAATAAAAGAAAAATATATATAAAAAGCTAGAAAACTACAAGAAAAGGTTTAATGTTGTGGTGTGCTCAGAAGAGAAAAGAAGAGACTGAAAAGGAAAGAAAGGAGAAAATGAGTCCCTACTGTATAAAAATCTCTTATTTCCACAACTGCAGCATACCAACAGTACAAATGCAATATGTGCTTATTCACAAGTGAGCAAGACTGTTGACTTTAAGATGTCACTTAAAAAGGACCAAAATAATCTGTTCTAGCACAGTATGGCTGGAAAGAAATCACTCAATAAAATGTATAATTGAAATGCTGACAAAAGCAGTCCGTAGATGTTTGTCAGCTAAATTCCTCTGACAAAGTACAATTGTACAAGCTCGCACAGTTTTCCTTTAAAGACGTCTTCAAGGTTCCAGAAACTCCAAATTATTATTCTCCCAAAACTTCCCGCATAATAAAAAGGCATTACAAATGAACAAATGCCAGCACTTACAGAAGTAGTCTTCCTGAGGGCCTGATTAAGGGACAGACTTTTCCACTTCCAGTTAAGCAAACAACATTCATGACCCTCATAAAAATGCACCATCAGCCAAATAACTGCAAACAACCTGATTCGCAGGAATAAAGAAATAAAGTTAAATCAACCCATAAAAAAAACACACAAAATACCTGCAACCTTTGAATATGACAGAGTGACAATACCTAGAGACTGCTGTAGACATAATTTCCCACATATACATTTTTTTTTTTATATTTATAGTAGTGGAAACAAGTTTGTCAACACTTTTTAGGTCCAGCACTGTAGTCTGTTTGATTCACTATATACATAATATACAGTAAAAGACAAAACTGTTCCTTTTATACGTTCTCTATTGCGTGGAGCCGCTGCGTTGTGGCTCAGTGTGCAGTCTGAAGTGCTGAGGGATGACGGACAGTCCGGTCTGCACCCCTCCAAAAAACCACCATCTCATCAGGCATTCAGGATCCTTGTTAAATGATATACTCCTTTGGGTTTTCACAGGGGACGCTCTGGGAATCAGCCTGGTTGCTAAAAGCAAAATCCTGGCTGTTTTCCTGCCGGTCCTTCACTTGCTGGTTTCGATATGTCTCTTTTCTCTGGTAGAGTAATCTGCCCGTTATCGCCAGCCCAGTCACAACCACAAAGATCACAACAGCGATGACACCTGCAGGGCAGACATATCCAGGCATTCAGGTTTGGACAGGTCTTTGATGTTATGTAGCCCGCACTTAAACTTTATATTTGAATCAATGGAGCGGACTTAATAATACACAATAGAGTTTAAAAGCACTACAAACTACAAGCCTGGAGAACTACTTACAGAAATCACAACAAAGCTTGCTTAACAGAGATCAGAGGATGTGTTTCAGAGTAAAAGGCGGTCAAACCAAATATTAATATCACTCTATCTCTGCCTTATACCCTGCAAGTCCTTGTATGTTTGCACACGTTTCAATAAATCCCTGCACCTATTTGAGGTGGCTCAAAACCTGCTCGCAGTGCTGTTTATTAAAAAAAATGTTAATTAAAGAAGGTACAAAATAGTTAGTGCTGAGCAGCTGCTGTTGGGTTTGTTGAAATAGAGTGGAAATCTCATCGCAGGGACAAAGATGTAACACAAGAAGCCCTTTAAAAGGTAAACACTAACATTTTTATTTATTAAAGTCTTACTTTTCTTATCTGACTGTAAGTATGCCAATAACAGTGACACGCTTAGCCTTTGGAAATCACTCGTCAAAAAAAACATAAAGAACTGTCATCATAAGGAAGCTGGAAATAATTCGATGTCCTGCAGCTAATACCTACAGTCCTATAATTGGGTTAGACAATGAACTGAGTAGAATCCACATTGTAATTCACTTGTAAATCTCTCACAGTGCTCACAGTCTCACAGTACATTGTCTGCCCATCTCTCCTGGGTAAGTCGGCTTTCTTGCCCTGCAGTCTGGTTGTTCTAATCTAACTTCAGCACACACTGAACAGAATCTCACACATTTGTACCCAGCTGGACTCCTGTTTGACACATTTCTTCATTCAGAGAAAGTTTCATCTAATTGGAATTCAAAAACAGAAATCAATTTTGCGCTTTACTACTTTGGTTTTAAAACTTTTGAAGATAACAGGGTGAAAGTTTCAGCAGAGGTTTGGTCAGTTCAGCTGCCCTTTGTACACTGAAACACCAGAATCTCTCGCTTTTGTCTCGCTACAACTTTATGGGAACACTTTGGAATCAATCTTCATTTTGAATCGTTCTGGAGTGAAGCGGGGGGGATGTAATTTAGTTCAAATGAAATATTTTGCTCATCATATCACCTTTGCCAAAAACCCCTTATCGCTGAAATATTGAGTCTCACGTAGTTCAAGAAAAGTTCAACAGCAAAACGCAGCAAAACAAGGTGACGAAGGTTCACGGTATAGTGAAGTATGTTTTAAAAAAAACAGTACCTCCAATAAGAGCCGAGTCCGTCCTAATGGCATTGATCAAAGGTTGACCCGAACCTGCTGAACCAGACTGATCTACAGCAGAGAAAGAGAAAGGATGAGATAAAGAGGGAAAAACAAGGTAAATAGACACAGTAAGGATGAAAAACCAAGGGCAACGTGAATTAAAAGAAGAGATACAGAGAGCTTTAATAGAAAAGCGAGGTAAGGTAGATGAATGAGAGGCAATAAGAGGAAATAAACTGAAAAGAAATGGACAAGGAGGGCTATTTAGAGAAACAATAACGCTCATAAAAACAGATACAAAGCAAATACTACAGCAGCAAGTTAGACGACTGTTTAAGGAATATAAAACTGGATGAAAACAAGACCGGAGGAACTCTTTGTAACTCCCCTGTGTGGGTCTAATTAATTACGTTATCAAGCACATTGTCATTTGTCGTCCCAACAAGGTGTACAAATTTAATGACACCATAATGCAGCTCACAAAAAGCAGCTCCCATCAATAAGACACACACACACAAACACACACATACACACACGCGTTCTAACCTGCTATTGCACAATTATCATCACGTTAAAAGGGTTGGAAATTATTAGGCGTTTAGGCCAGCGAGAACAGCAGTTACATTTAAAATGAAAGGGCAGAGGTATCCTCTGAATGTTTTTTTGGGGCGTGTTTAATATATTTTTCTAGGAATATTAATAGAACTCCCATCTGCAGTGAGCAAAAGTACAGCACCCTGGGTGATTCAAGGGCTCATACAGCAAGGCTGATGTTTCCAGTGCAAGAAAATTGGGCTTTCGCTTTTTATGAAACAACTTTCCAGCCATGGCGTGAGGCAAGAATTCACTGTTGAGCCTCTATTGACCTCCCATCCCACCCTCTGCACATCACGTCTTCTCCAAACTGCAAAGCACACAGCGGGCTATATGCCAGCTTGATTGGACCCAGAGAAATAACCCTGAGCTGGAATGATAAATTCTGGCTGGAGGATTTCTGTGTACCAAACAGTTTACACGACCATCCCTTTTATTTATTTATATATATA